GCGGGGCCGGCGAGCAGGCAGTGCCAGGTCTCCAGCCAAGGTGGGTGCCAGTGGGGGCCCCCCAACGGCCCTGCCTACTGGTTGCCCCACAGATGGCCCTGATTGCCAGCCAGGCCTAGGGACCCTATCCTATATATTGGGAACAGTCTCTTAGATTTAAAAATTAAGGCTACTCTAACACTGAAAAAACAGGATGATGCAGCGATGACATGCATGGACTCTGGCTTGCACATTTTGTGGTCAGCCCTGATTCTGACAGTTATAACTGTGTGACAAAGCCAATTCTCTCTGCTTTAGTTTTTCCACCCATAAGATGGGGGAAATGGTACTACTGCCTCAGAAGAATCATGTTATGTACTACTTTTATTAATCAGGGCAAAAAAATGTAGCTGCCCATACAATAGCAAGATGCCTTTGACCTGTATGAAAAGTATGGTCATTGGTGCATGCAGCGTCCTGGATTGTGAGAGGGATATCCGACTGCTGATTTAGGCCCGACATCCCCCGAGAGGTCCCGGATTGCGAGAGGGCGCAGGCCAGGATGAGGGAACCCCCTCCCAAGCATGAATTTAGTGTACCAGGCCTCTAGTATGTTCATAAAGAAGAATGTTGATGATGGCTATTTGATTGAACAAAAATGAAGATATGTTTAAAAATGTCTGTTTCACTTAGTTATCATTTGTTACTTTTCAGTCCAAATAATTATATTGCAATATTATAAGAATTATATTGCATTATAGTTTTCATTTTTTTTGCTTTTGGGCTGATGAGCATAAAATGATCACATACCCAGTACCTAATTATTATGTTTGATATTACTATTATCTAGTTTATTTAGGGAGACAAAACGAACATGAATAAACTCTAGAATGTAATGTAATGGAACAGATTCAATAAACTAAAGTTTCTCATTTTCTGTTTCTCCTCCTGCAGGTATATCGAAGCGATGGTTCATTATGCTCACATCCGCCATCCAGCTGCAATTGTGGATGACCTTCATGCCAAGGTCCTCAGGGAAGCTATGCAAAATAGCAGGACTACCTTCTCAGAAAATGTAAGAATTTTTTATCCAGTAAAGTATGGCAAACTGAATATTCTTCATGTGCATATAATATTCAAACTTGAAAAAATGGAATGTATTAAATTTTTATTAGTTATTTAAATTGGAACACATGGACATTTCTAAACAGTCTTTATATGTCAGTGGCTCCATATAGAACTATGCTATAGATTAAATAGTAGTCAACTATTTATTAAAATGTGGCTTTATTTTTTTTTTTTTTTCAGAAAGTAGCTTAATTTCAGGCCTTTCCTAAAGAGTGTTGGTCCCAAGTGAACAAGCGCTCTCTAGGACTGGTGCATTTGTTTTCTAAGAAAGCAAGCTGCATATTATTTTGACTTTCCTCTATGATTAGATAACTTGTCTCCTAATATTTTTGAGATTATTTTTGTTCACCTCAATGAGCCAAGTCACTGCCCTCTGGTGTGTCGTATTCCATTTATGCCATGGTCCAAGCGCGAAGCCATTTCTTAGTAGTCACTTCCTGGTGCTCTTTTGGTGACTCTCCACTTGACTTTCAAATTTATCTGGGTCATATTTGGACCAGGGCCCAGAGGCAAAGTACAAGTGAGGCTGATTGTTTTTAGTGATCCACTTATTCAAAATATATACTGAAGCTGCCAACCTGTTTGAACTTTAAGACTAGGGGTGCTAACCCAATGGCAGCTGGCATACCCATGGGCATAAAGAGCAGAGTGAATGAGCAGGTTGCTGTTGCAGATGATGTGGAAATTATGAAATGTTTGTGAAATAATAATTCTACTTGCACTCTTTTTAGTTATCTTCCAAACAAGATGTTAGAGGAACAAAAACTGAGCACACTACCATAGGAATGACTAACCAAGGACAAGCACAGACAGATCTTATCATGAAACAAGATAATGTGACAATTAAAGGTCTTCAAGCTAATGTCAGCATACCAAAGGTAACAATTTAATATTTTAAAAAAAATTTTCTGAAAGAAGAGGACATATATTTTATTCCCTCGATGACTGAATGTAAAAATTAACATAATGTAAATAAGTTTACTTAAGTAGAATATTGGGCAAGTTATACTAGATTCATCCAGTAAGAATTTAATTACAATTATTTTATGAGATTCTATATTTGTAAGCTTTGTCTTCATAACTCTCAGACACTTAGATACACTATTCCTAATAGTAGCTTTGCCATTTTTCTGTGTATCTTATATTTGATAATTTTTACTTTTCAATGACATTTATGCCATTTTCTGTGTTAGGTAAACTTATGTTTGTTACAAGCCTCAGTGGAAGAATCTCCAAGTACAGCTTCCAGTAGAAGCATGACTCACATGTCTCTGGTTGCATTGTGTTTTGACAGAATTGCTACACAAGTTCGTATGAACAGGTAAAAAAGATTTCATTAATTTGAGCCATGATTATCTTGCTGGATGGAAAAGCAGGCCTTAATAATCTTCTTAATACATAAAACTGGTATTGGAATTTCAAATCTTGTTTTGTAGGTATTTGAAAGTTTGTACTGTTTTTATTCATACTATATTTTAGTAAACACTGAAGAATTTGTTATGAATATTGGTTTAATTAAAGCAGTGGAATGTTTCCGTTTTTAAAAAATGTTTTTTATTGATTTCAGAGAGAGAAAGGGAGAGGGAGAGAGGGCTAGAAATATCAATGATGAGAATCTTTGGTAGGCTGCCTCCTCCACACCCCCTACTGGGGATCAAACCCGCAACCTGGGCATGTGCCCTGACCGGGAACCGAACCATGACCTCCTAGTTCATAAGTTGATGTTCAATCATTGAGCCATACTGGCCAGGCTGGAATGTTTTTTTTAGGCCACTTATTAATTAAATGTTGTTCCTGAACTGTTTAAATGTTTAAATGTTAATCATACTCTCTCTCTTTTCTGTGAAGAGGTGTGGTTGAAGAGATTTCAAACAACACTGAACCTGGTCGGACATCACAGTTTGATAGGTATGTCCACGCCTCTAAAATGCAGCCACAGTCGTCTGGATCTCTCAGATCAAACACCGGAGCAGAAAAAGGCAAAGAAATTGCTGCCAAGTTAAACATTCATCGAGTTCATGGGCAACTCAGGGGTCTTGATACAAAAGGTAGGATTTTACAACAAATATTTTTTCTGTGGCATGTATAAATATAAGAGGATTTTGCAAAAGAAAACATTCTTTTCCTTTGAATATTGCTACACTTTTAGTAGTTTAAAAGAAAGGTATTTTCTGCACTATATTAAACACATAGTATTTAACTATTCCTTATTCACATTCTATGTAGAACAGAAGGTAAACTTTGGTAGGGAAGAAAGTGATATGGCCCCAAATTAGGAACCCATCTGATTTCTTCATTATGTCTGCTGCTCATTAGAGAGTCTGGTCTTTATAGTCTTTCTTACTTTTTTAAATTGTTCTGTTGGCACAACTTTATTGAAAATTATTAATTACAATATCAAAAGTAGATAACCAAGTCTGTAAAATACAGCAGCAACAAGAGTGATAGCCATGGCTATGCTTCTTAGAGTCCCTGGTGAGGTAAGAGAGAACACTAGACACGTCACATACCATTTCAGTATTTTTGACAAAACTCTGTGCCTGTGCTCATTTAGAGGCTAAGTGATCTCAGATTGTCAGAGATTCAATCCAGAAAGAAATGAGTTTATTAGTCTTAATTGATATGGTTGCTATGCTAATCTCCATCTGGGATAGGTGACGAGTCCCGAATGAGCAAGTCATTTCCTTGAATTTGCTCACTGTATTATGTAGGCTCTGAAGGTTCCATAACGGCTGTCTGTGTTCTGGGTCTGTGTAACTGCTGAGGCTTTCTCAAGGCTTTCCAGAGAAAGAGATTGTTCCCGACTCCCTGAGTTCTGTAGTCCTAACACTGGTGCAGAATACAGCAGCTTGTATAGAAAAAGATTTATCCTCAGTTCTGTAGTTTGCACTGTTAGCCAGTTTGTACTTTGGTGTTGTATAGACTGCAGGCAGTAACTAAATATAATTTTGAAAGGGACACTACCCAGATAGAACTTACCAAAGACAAAACTCCTAAAGAAATTTTAAGGAGATCATTGTGTAAAGTTGTAGGAAAAAAAAAAAATGTCTTTGCTTATAGGTACATAAGATATCTTTGAAAAGATACTCAATAAATCTAATGACATATGTTACCTGTAGGGAGGGGAAGTGTATGTCTTGGGGTTTTACTGTGAACCCTTTGTACTCTTTAAGTGAGTGTATTACCTAATCAAAAAAATGTATAAATTCAAGTTAAGTCCTCACCTAATACAATATTTCAGAATAAGTTCATGGAATTAGACAGATAAAATATAAATGTAAAGTATAGTATTTTCTTGGTGGAATATTTCATAGCTATTAAAATAATTTTAACAATAATAATTTTTAATGAGTTGAAATTATCATGGTTACTGTTGCATAAAAATTGGGAACAAAGCTGGGTTTGTAAAATGATCTCTAAATAGCTAGAAGGAAACTTACTCCGAATGTAATAAGCCAGTTATCTATGGATGATAAATTTACCAGTGTTTTTTTAAAATCTTTTTTGTTATGTTTTTCTGTATTCATTAACTATAATCAGAGAAATTTTAAAAAGTAAGGTAAGAAGTAAGAAAATAATGCCAGGAACTTGGGATGTTCATTTCTACATTGCATTTGGTAAGCAGTGAAATATTGCAATGACTGTGATGAATTGTAGTTATATAGGATATGTTAGCATAAAGCCATTTTTTAGTAAATGCTGTTATTGTATTAGAAAATAATGTTTTTTCTAAAGCTGGATAATTAAAATAATTTTTTATTTTATAAAATGATGAGAAAGTATTTAAAAATAGTGTATTATGAAGCTGAATTATGCAGAAGCTTTTTAGCTTTAGATTTTTAGAGTACCATGTAATCTTTCAGAAATGAATCCATTCTGCCTTTGGGCAATTATTTGTTAATTCTGGATTCATCTTTCCCCCCCTTACTTCAATGTGATTCTGGCAATTTGTAAGCAGTACAAAGTTAGGCAGCATTATTTTTGAGTTGGTTCATTTGTTTATTTTTCTTTTTGACTAAGATATCTTTTGATCGTAACCACTGTGCCAAATGTTTACATTGTTTGTTTTAAAAATATATAAAACCTCTATCTTTAAAAGTGGTGGTTTTGTTCTCTTTTGGTGATAGATATCGGCACCTGTGCCATCACTGCGATTCCCTTCGAGAAGTCCAAAGTCTTATTTACTCTGGAAGAGCTGGATGAGTTTACTTTTGTGGATGAGACTGACCAGCAAGCTATTCCGGATATAACTCGAATGGGTCCCAGCCAAGAAAAATGGGGTTGGATAATGTTTGAATGTGGACTTGAAAATTTAACCATAAAAGGTAGGTTTTTAAAAAATAATTCTGCGTAAGTGGGTACAAATTGGCCCCACGTTGCTGAAATGCTTTACACTCATGACTTTCAATAGTCTGAATCAGCAAATTCAAGCTGAAAGTGTGGTAGCTGGGATTATTCACCAGGGGTGGATGCCCCATCCCGATTCCTCCATTGTGTGATCCAAAACTAGCAGAGCATCTAGACATGTAAAAACCTCAGTGTCTGAGCAGAGCAGTCTTGGCTCAAGTCAAAGCCACCCAGCTTTTGAAAGCTTGTGTCTTTGGAAACTGGATCTTTGATTAGCAGAGCTTTACCATTTAGGATGAAAATATTTCAAATCCTTTATTCAGTGAGACAGAGTCTGACTTACAATTATGTGTGTTTTCTTATACATTATTGAGTAATATATTAAAATATGAAGGCTGACTTGTGTATAAGACTTTTAGATTTAGTCCTATATAATAATAATAGTAGTTGTATATTTATAGATAAGGGCAAGTTTTGGTGAGAATAAAAGGGGTCTTTGTGAGATTTTAATTTTTATCTTTATGGATACAGTAGAGTACATCACTGAGATACCGAGTGTTTTAATAAATACATTCTCGTATTTATATAGGAGGAAGACAGTCCGGTGCTGTTTTGTATAATACTTTTGGAACGATGGGCAAAGCTAGTGTCACAGAAGGGGGTGGAGTGCTGACATCCAATAATTCTTCTGATTCTCCGACCGGCAGTGGCTATAACACCGACGTCTCTGATGATAATCTTCCTTGTGATCGAACAAGCCCTTCTTCAGACTTAAATGGAAATTCTGTTTCCGATGAGCAGGTTGGTAATAATGCTTTGGAAACATGAGCAGGTTTCTAATAATAATGCTTTGGAAACATAACATAGAAAATGACGTACCAACTCAAAATTAACTTCTGAAGTATATTTGCTTGTCTTTTTGTAGTTTGGATTTTGCTTAAGTCAAGGCATTTTGATGATTACACTTCTACTAGAGCAGCGGTTCTCAACCTGTGGGTCGCAACCCCTTTGGGGGTCGAACGACCCTTTCACAGGGGTAGCCTAAAACCATCGGGAAACACATATATAATTACATATTGTTTTTGTGATTAATCCCTATGCTTTAATTCAATTTGTAACAATGAAATTGGGGGTCACCACAACATGAGGAACTGTATTAAAGGGTTGTGGCATTAGGAAGGTTGAGAACCACTGTACTAGAGTATAATTTTTGTAGGCACCAATGCCTAAATATGTTTATATCTATCATAGTACCTAGCATAATACTGTGTTCATATTAGGCACTTAAAATATCTGCTGAATTAATGAATTAATAGAATTTCAAAAAAGCAGGCTTTGTTTTTATGTTGTTTGAATGATTTTAGCAGAATCACTTTTTAAATAATTAGTTTTGTTACTGGTAATATTTCATGTAAGTTCTTAATATTTTTGTCAATATCTGCCAGTTTCATTTAGGGTCCTGAAGAATACCTTCAGTGTCACTCATTTATTATTTTTATTAGGGTAGAATTTCATAGTGATGAGTATAGGAACAGCAATAATGAAAATATTTAAAATTCTAGATTACTAAAGAGTTGTGTCACTGATTGGTGACCTGGGGCAAATTATTTTCCCTTTCCCGAGTTTCTTCATCTATAAAGGAGTATTGTAAGGACATTGCTCTTCTAAAGTTGTGAAGATTGGAGGAGACAGTACACAGGAAAGGCTTAACTCAGTGTCTATCACACAGTGAGAACTTGGTAATGTATGTGTACTATATGTTACATAGACTCCTAATGGAATCTGAGGCAGCTTTATCTTGAAATACTTAAATATTTCTGCAGCCAGCAATTTTAATAAAAATACCAGGTGTGGGGTAAATAGCTTCTCATCAGTTCAGATTAGGTTTTGATGCCACATTTACAGAAAAATATTAGATTTTATTTTTTTAATCTTTATTGTTGAAAATATTACATAGGTCCTCCTTTTCCCCCCATTAACCTTTTCCAACCCTCTTCCATACCTTCCTCCCCCAGACCCTCACCACCCCATTGTCTGTGTCCACGGGTTATGCATATATGCATACAAGTTCATTGGTTGATCTCTTCCCACCCACCTTCCCCTGGCTTCCCTCTGAGGTTCAACAGTCTGTTCAAGCTTCTATGTCTCTGGGTCTATTTTTGATCCTCAGTTTATTTGGTTCATTAGATTCCACATATAAGTGAGATCATGTGGTACTTATCTTTCTCTGACTGGCTTATTTCAGAATGTCATGGATTTTAGAATTGCAAATAAGGGAGTGTGGACTTATATGTAGTGCCTGCTGACTTTAAAATCACTGAGGCCTATAGTTCACATTGTTCTGTAACACTTAGGACTCACAGGTGTTTTGTGTGTATTCATTCCTTAATCACCACACAAGAAAATGCCAGTCTTTTCTTTATCTTGACCAATGATATCTCTTTTTTTTAAATTAATTTTTATTTATTTATTTTTTTTGCTAAAAGTATTACAAAGGGTATTACATATGTGTCCTTTTTTTCCCCCTGCCCTTGACAATCCCCTGCCCTCCCTTACCCCCCAGTGTCTTATGTCCATTAGTTATGCTTATATGCATGCATACATTGACCAATGATATCTCAAACTGAATCCAGAGACTTTAAGTAGATGTAAAAGGCAGGAGACTTTTTTTTTTAATATCATGCTTCTTACCTGCCTACATTTTGAAGGTTGGTGATTACACCTCTAAAAGATATTCCCATTTCTCAATATAGCTTTAGATAATAGCATGTAAGATAACATAAGAATTTTTTGTAGAGTGTTATTTGAAAATGTGTTACAATAGTATTTATTATGGCTCTTTATTTGGAAGTTTGAAATATTCTGTTAAATGGAAAAGGAAATTGATTGCAATAGGAGGCAGAAGACCTTAATTCTACCACCCACTCTGCTCAAGAGTTGTGTGGCTTCTGGCAAGTTACCTCTTTCTCTCACTTTCCTCATCTAGAAAAAATAACTTAATGCCCCTAAACAAAAAGTTTTGGGTGTTCTATTATTTAGGATGAAGGAGTTGAATCTGATGATTTGAAGAAAGATGTGCCTCTTATGCCGCCACCTCCCGATTCCTGCAGCATGAAGCTGACCATCCAGGAGATTTGGTTTAGTTTCGCAGCTCCCACCAACGTGAGGTCTCCCACTCATGCATTTTCTAGGTAAAAAGTCTGAAAAGTGTACTACTGTCGCTTGGTGTTTCTTTATTTAAATGGCATGCAGTTCTGTTTCATGCATGTTTTGAATTACTTTTTGGATATATCTAATATGAGGGCTGCCACCTCTTCCCCATCTTTCCTACCTCAGACTCTCCTTATTGTCAGCTTGTTTGACCATTTTTCTTTTCTAGGGCTTAGTTTTACTTTCACATGTCACCCTGCCATTAACTTATTTTTTTCACCTCTAATAAGCTTTTTAATATTTTTTCTTTTCTATTATCTGTTCTCTGAATATCATGAATTATGAAGTTATATCTTCATAATTTATCTGGTGGTCAAAAGGAAAAGTAATTTGCCTAAATAAAATAGCTGCTAAGAACAGTAGAGATGGAAGATCATTTGAAATAAAATAAAATCTTGACGCTCGTTTTTATAATTTTCTAAAATAAATCTGAAGGCAGCTAAACCTCTTAAGCACTGCGACCCCCGCGGTGGGTGCGTGGCTCGTTCCTGTTGACCAGCTCAAGTCGTCCTTGAACAAATTGGAAACAGAGGGAACGCTGAGACTCTGTGCTGTGATGGGATGCATCATGACTGAAGCGCTAGAGGTAAGTCTTCAACAATACATGGAGATACAGAATTTATTGAAGACGATCCTGACCATTTATCATTGTTGGGAAACATCTAACTTGTGAGTACTTAGTGACTGGATGCCTTTCATTTGTACTATCTTTAATACATCATTGTAAGCCTGTTATCTTTGCTTTGTTTCAGAATAAAAGTATGCATTTTCCCCTAAGAAGTAAATACAACAGACTTACAAAACTGGCTCGCTTTCTCCAAGAAAACCCTTCTTGTTTACTGTGTAATATACTCCACCACTACCTGCACCAGGCAAATTACTCCACCATCGAGGATGCTACAATGGTGAGTGACTGAAACCATGTGTTAGCTCTGAAGTAGCCTCTGTTCTGTTGAGGAACCATTGACCTGCAGGATTTGAGATGCATATGGGAAGTCCAGAGGAGAAATGTGGTTAGAAATACAGGCTCATAGACAACAGCAGGCTCAGATTAATGATTTGGGAGTTGACAACATGAAGGTGTTAAAAGCTGTTGACGTGGATGAGACTTCTAGGGATGGAGGGTTGAGTAAGAACCCGGTCAAGGATGGATCCCAGAAGAATACCAATATTAAATAGGTGGGGAAGGTGGATGGAGGTACATAGAGTGCTGAGGAGGGAAAGGAGAGCCAGGAAAGAATGTCTGGAAGCCAAAGTATAGTGAGTTGCGAGTAAGAGAGTAATCACTAGAGTCAAATATCATAGCAATGTTTAATAAAATAAGGACTCATTTGTGATGGGGGGATATTATGTAATTGTACAAAATAAATATACTATCTCTGCCCCTTGAAAAGCACTTCAGAAGGTGACACATACCTAGGGGTGTAGAACTGGAGGAGCTTCCTTCTCCTCGCCAAGCTCTGGTCAATAGAGAATACATGAGAATCTGAAGCCAAATTAGTGGTCAATGTATCCATATTGGTAATGGCCAGTCAAGCTCCTATTTACCTCCAATGCCAGAATCTCCCGTAAGTCATGGATATAAAAAAGGTACTTGGCCTGAGGCTGGTAGAGTTTCTAGTTTCTACTGCCACCTGAGAGTTGAGGACTGGGAGTCCCCAATGTGAGGCTAACTTACCCATGATGCCGTAGGCAGAGACGGGAACAGAGAGAATGACTTCATTTCCATGGGTGCTCTGCCCAGGTATGCTTTCCATTAAGAGGAAGGACCACTTGAGCCTGGGAATGAAAGGGCAGGTGCAGAAAGTAAATGAGGTTCTTCTAACACAGGGAATCGTAGGAAAGGGGATGGACAGGAGTTGGATATTTTCTCCTCAGGCTAAGGCTCTAATAGGAAAAAGAGCCAAGTTTTCTTTCTTACAATCATAACCATGTGAAATCAAATATATTCTAAATTTTATCATTGTTAGTAATACATTTAACTTTCAAAGCAGTTACAAATCCAGCTATATCCAGCATTTACCTATAGAAATTTATTATTTTTAATGCTAAAAATAATCTCTGGAGGGAATAATTTCATTCCCTTTTTGCTTAATGAATATTCCAGGTTGTTCAAAATACATTTGATTCTTCAATTGGCAAAAGATAAAGTGGATTGAATGCTTCTTCAGAAGAACCCCAGTCTTGTACCTGCATTTAGTTTTATTTCCCTGGAGCTGCTGTGCTGTTCATGACAGGAGAAGCAACCTTGTGTTTAGAGATTGAGTTCTGTTGTCAGCTCGAAACACTGACTTTCTTGTGTAACCTTGGACAAATTACTTAACATATAAATTCTGGTTTCCTCATTTCCCAGTGGGGGTTATGAGAGTTAAATGAATAAATATATGCAAAGCACTTAAATGGTAACTGTTATTATATAGTAAGGTGACTTCTAACCACATCATTGTTGTTACAGGGTGATGGACTTCCTGCCTTGGTAACCTTAAAGAAAGGGTTAGTTGCCCTGGCAAGGCAGTGGATGAAGTTCATTGTGGTGACACCAACCTTTAAAGGAGTCAACTTACATCGGCCAGCTCAGCCCGTGAAGCCCCAAGCAGCTGTGGACCATGAACACGAAGATGGCTTTGGGCTGGACAATGGAGGTGGTCTTCAAAGTGATACCAGTGCTGATGGAGCAGAATTTGAATTTGATGCAGGTAATTTTGTAAATATTTTAGCTAGTTATTATGCACTTGGTAACCTAGTACATGTGATAATTTTAATGATTTGTGTCCCAAATTTGATATTTCAATTGTCATGGTTTAATTATATAAGTATGGTTTGTATTAGTCCAAATTAAATGCTAATAATGTTGGAATCTCATACAGATTTGATTCTCAAGTTTAATTTTGTGAAATATAGTAGACTTCTTCTCCTAACCTATCCAGTCTAAACAACAGATATCTTTGTATAACTAGAATATTTTGAGTTAATCACATTAACCTCTATTTAAAAATTATATCTATCTCTTTATCATCTTGCCCTGTGCCTTTATTTTATTATTTTTTTATATTTAAAGAATAAATATTTATGTTTGGTATTGAGGTACTCACTGAATAAGGTAAAAATAAATTACAATGATTGATAAATAACTGTGGTATGATAGCAATTAATCAACCTCTGGGTCACTGCTTAATTAAAAAGCATAGTCTTCTAAATATGATCTCAAAAACCTCAGCAACACATAATATCATGGTAATTACAGTAAATGTGTACATTGCAGTGAGAAAGAAGGTCTTCTCAAAGTGATCTGGCACCATGCATTTTATAATAGTAAACTTTCCCACCAGAGATGTCACACCTCTCTACTTGTCCTGTGCCTTTAAAGGAGCCTTTGAATTTTACTCAGTGCTTGTTCAGATCTGAGTTTATGTAATATTTGGAGGCCTGTGCTCAGCCTCAGATTCTGAGAGCCTGATGGCTGTGCCAGAACACAGGCAGTACCCCTGTGTTTCACAGTGTATAGGTTGGGCACAAAGGGGGGGGCGGGTGTCATAGCTCTTTGTATGGAAAATTAATAATGCAGGCATAAACTCCATGTTTCACATACAACTGTAAACTGACTTTTGCCCCACCCTATACATACTTTAATGCTTTTTCAAAGTTTAATTATTATTATTATTATTATTATGAAATGTACTATGCACTGCAATTTATCTTATGATAATTTGAAAAAATATTAGAAGTACCATGGGCAAAGAAAGCAGTCTTAAAATTAGAGCTTTCAGAACATCTATATATAAAAAAGGCTAATATGCAAATTGTCCCCTTGGGAGATTGACCGGGAGACCAGGAGTTCGATTGCTCGCTATGATGTGCGCTGACCACCAGGGGGTGGCGTGGAACAAAGGAAGGCCCCAGCTGGCAGCCAGCAGCCAGGGAAGGAAGGCCCTGGCCAGCAGCCGGAAGGCCCCAATGGCCCTGATCGCAAGCCAGGCCTAGGGACCCTACTGTGTACGAATTTTGTGCACTGAGCCTCTAATTGATATATAATCCTTTACCCAGTTTTTCTTTTTGGTTTTCAAACATTTTTAAATTATATTTAAGAAATGAATGTTTTATGAGTAATAGGCTGGATTTTATTATTTATTTTGATAAATTTCAAGTCTGTACAAAAGTTGAAAGAATAGTGTAGTAACTATCCCTTTTAATTAATTATCTACAAATGCCTGTGTTAATCTGTGAAAATTCTGTGCTCTCTTGAGCTGAGTTGAATTGGTTTTTGGTCTCTTACCATTTGGGTGGCATATTTGAGATTGAATAGAAGCTGTTTATTCCTTTTTTGAGACTTAGTGAGAAGATTGGAGTTGGAAGAGTAACATAAAAATTTAAAAAGGAGTGAATATTACAGAAGATTCCACAATGAACTTGTCAAGGAATATCTACGGCTGAGAGTAGAGCCACCACCAAGAACACTGGAGTTGATGCTTAAGGAGCATGTCTGACAATCGCAGCCCTTTTCACTCACTCTTTTCACTGATTTCAGCCACAGTCAGCGAGCACACGATGCTGCTGGAAGGAACAGCCAGCCGACCTCCCCCCAGCGGCTCTGGGCCTGTGACTGGCGCTGAGATAATGAGGAAACTCTCCAAGACTCACACCCACAGTGACTCTGCATTAAAGATAAAGGTTCATTATTACTGTTTTTAGTTAGTGTTAGTTAGACTTGCAGAGAATACCTAACTTTTGCCATCTCAAATTCAACTATTAGGTGTCCACCCTAAAGATTTAAATTTAGTAAAAGTAGTATTTTTACATTGAAATTAACATGATTAGTAACTTTTAGTGTGCACATTTCTTTGAAAATTATATCATCAGTAGTAATTAATATTGAATAAGGACTACTTTAACTATCAGGCCTTAGGGCTCTCTTTTAAACTTATTGAATATTAAATAAAATACAATATTGAGAATATTGATCATCTTATAATTGTGCATGATCAATATACAGTTTGAGTGAGGCTGTTTTATGTTTTCAGTGATGTTGTTTTGTTTGGTATTGAGTGAACCGTAGTAAGCAGTAATGGCAAGGGTAACAGCAGTTGTAGTTCTCAGCCGTCACATTTGTGTGTGTAAGGAAGAGCCTGTGTGGTTTCTCTGCAGGGCATCCACCCATACCACTCCCTGAGCTACACCAGTGGAGACACCGCCACGGATTCTCCAGTGCATGTGGGCCGTGTTGGGATGCCAGTGAAGGAGAGTCCACGGAAGGAGAGCCTGCTCAGCTACCTGACTGGGAGCTTCCCAAGCTTGCACAACCTCCTGGAGGGCACTCCTCAAAGGAGCAGTGCAGCTGTGAAAAGTAACTCCCTGACGAGAACAGGTGTGGCCTTGGTTTTGACAATTACAAGTTTACTTCTGTGGGAGAATTAAAAAAAAAAAAAGGTTTAAGATTTTTAGATATATACTTTGGATGCATAACTAATCTTTCATATTGCAACTTATCTCTGAGAGAGTATTTTGGGAAACTTCTCTTTGTAACAGGTTAGTATCTTCTTGCCCTTAGTTTGCATTTTTAAATTGTAGCATTTGACAGCCAAGGTGTGATGTGGGTTGATGTCTAGACCAGACAAAAAATGAATTTTTCCATGGTATTATAAATAAGTTATTTATTAGTGCCTTAATATCCAAATACCAATGTCATACTATGAATTTGAAAACATCTGCATATATAGGTATTTTAATGTGACTTTTCAAAAAAATTACATAAATCACATTTTCTCCTCCTTAGTACATAAGTAATATTATACTCAGTAAAACTTTATTTTCAGGAAATACAGTGGCTACAGATATGTTATCTGAACACCCCTTGCTATCTGAGCCATCATCTGTGAGTTTCTATAACTGGATGTCCAATGCGGTGGGTAATCGAGGAAGCGTGGTGCAGGAATCTCCTGTCACAAAGTCAGGGCACAACAGTCTTCCAACAGGTATGGACTTGTCACATTATTTTGCTTAACCATCTAAGGGGCACCTGTTAAGTTATTGCAAAATCCTGTTTTTCAGAGAATGATTAAAAAAATCTCAAATGCTTAAGTATTGTTTTAGTTGAAATTGACCCATTTATGAACTGCCTTTGATAATTTAGCAGCTGAGGGAGTCATAAGCAGTCACTCAATGTTTCTGTGGAAAGTCAAGCGCGAGAGCGTCTATAATTTAAAGAATTTAAAACTTCCATTTAATGTGGCTGGTTTAATTTCAAAACACCAAAAGGAGGTAAATAAAAAATACAGTGTATAATTACAACATCGTATACTTACAACACAGAAAGTATTTTCAGTTTATCCAGATTTCTCTGGGACATAATAACTCGCATTCTTATGCTCTTTGTCGTTACTTAAATATTTAATTAAATCTAAGGGAGTACTAAGAAGAATAAAGTAAGGTTCTTGCCCTCAAGGAGAGAAATAAATCAGGGCAATTTATAAATTTTTAAAAGAATATGTATAAGTAGCAAGAAGACTAGTAGGGAATTCACAAGGAAGGATTGGTGGCTATCTCCTGAAGTAAAAGTGGAGTCATCTCTTCTATTTTGTGTGTGTGTGTGTTCAAATTTACTAGACATATATTTGTTTGTTTTTTAGTAAACAATTTTTTAAGAAAAAGAATATGTGAGGTAGCCCTTGATTCTAGTCATCGAAGGCAGCTAAAATTAATCTGTGTAACAGCTATTGGGATAGCTAGTAAATTCTGTTCAGACAGAAAATACGAAATTATGAAAAGTGGTTGACACATGACTACTTAGTCCTTTTTGTTGCTGGTGTGTGGACCATTTTTGAACCTGGAGTGAAGTGGTGAGCAGGTGATGAATTCTAACTGTACCTTAGTCCTCAGTGTCAGCCTTAGCTGAAGAAGATGGAAGAATGTGTTTGCCCGTGTCAGCACTTTGCTGGGGCTGGTTTCCCTGTTGCACAGTTTAAGTTTCAGGAGAGCCAGAAAGGAACATTTCCTGTCTATCAGAGGCCCTTTGTCTGGAGGTTAAAGAAGAAAGGGAGGAAGAGGAAAGAAAGTGCCAATTATTGTCGTTCCACCTCGGGGAAGGTCATTGGGAGGAAGTTTGTATGTGCTACTTGGGGCATGATAGTCTGCCTCCTCTTGCTGCTTTCTGTGGCCCAGCTGCTTTCTGCACCTCTGCTTCTGGGTGCCCAGCTGAGGGGATGGCAGAGGCTCTTCCAGATGCAGAAGTCTATATATTCTGGGCTGGCTGGCTGTCATGAAGACTTCATGTATGAGGACAACGGATATTTTCTAAAAATTTAGCTTAATTTCACTTTTTATTAATCACATCTGTAAAATAACCTAAAAGTGCTACTTTTTCTCTTTAATTTAAATGGTCTGGTAATACTGTTCCATACAGGCTTTGTAAGTTTACTTCGCCGTGCCCCTTTATGCCTTTTATTTTCCAATACTTTAGATTTCATTCTTGAACATTTCTCCTGTTAGGTGTTGTGCCCAATCTTCCCACAATACCCTCAGCCTCAGATTTCAACACCATCTTGTCTAGTGACCAGAACACTCTGGATGGGACCCCTTCTCAGCACAGTATGAGTCAGGATGATGTGGCAGGTGTAGAAGAAGCCAACCAAGGTTTTCCTGCGGTTCAGCTGGCTGACGCCCAGGTGAGCCAGCCTGTTCCTCCCAGTTGTTGAAATCCTCTTAGGCAACACTGAGCAGCTGAAGCATCTCTAATTCACCTTGGAATTTAGTGAAAACCTTTGTTCTGTGCTTGTCTACCAAAGCCTTCATGCAAAAAAGGAGGAGCTTTCAAAAAGGACATGGGCTAATTAAGCATCTATAGCAGTGATGGCGAACCTTTTGAGCTCGGCGTGTCAGCATTTTGGAAAACCCTAACTTAACTCTGGTGCCGTGTCACATATAGAAATTTTTTGATATTTGCAACCATAGTAAAACAAAGACTTATATTTTTGATATTTATTTTATATATTTAAATGCCATTTAACAAAGAAAAATCAACCAAAAAAATGAGTTCGCGTGTCACCTCTGACACGCGTGTCATAGGTTCGCCATCACTGATCTATAGTCATTAAACAGAAGAGTGGCATAGTTGTTTATCTTATATGGTAACATTATTTGGAGATACAGATTGGCTAAATATCATGACTAGAAAGATAAATTTAATCATATCCTATTGTGTTCAGTGCTATGATAAGACTTTCTTTGAATGAGCAGTGGGGAGCCATTGAAGATTTTAGAGCAGAGAAATAATGTGACAAGAACTAGACATGGGCAGCAATGTGCTAAATGGATTGAGTTAGAGAAACAAGGTGAAAAGATGAGTTACTGAAACAGTTCACACGTGGTAATGAGGCTTAGATGGCTGTGGCTTTGATAAGGTAAAGAGGAAATATTATGAAAGTCTTATTTAATGGCTTAAATATGGAGAGTACAAAGCAAAATCTTTGAAATCTTTTTAGTTCTTCAAGTGACCAGAGGCAAGTGGGAGAGTGGGCCACAGGCATTAACAGGTTAAGTATAATTAGATTATATTTATTACAGAAGACCTTTTTGTGTTTCACCCTACACATATGTACTGGGGTAGGATAAGAAAAAACGCTGCAGTAAATGATGAATTATATAAATTGCACCAATATGAATGTGTTATGTCTTTTAGGTTGTTTTCAAGCCTCTTCTGAGTCACACAGGGATTCAGTCCCAGGATGCGATGCCACTGTGCTACCGCATGTACTTTGGCGAACACCTTTCATTTTCAGGGACACTGGACTGTCTCCGAGCAGATATCGTGGACTCAGACACAGCCAAGGAGAGAAAAAGCAAAAGGGCAAGAAGGTGTCTTGTGTTATTGTTGTTTTCATGTAAAATTTTGTACAAGGGTAATAATACCTGTTTGTTTTTAACTTTGCTTCCTTCTCATGGTAATGAGAAATTAATTTTAGTATCTTAATGAGAAGACAATTTCCATTTAACCAAAATAGTAGCCACATTAACAGGTTATGAGGCCTGTTTTTAGGCCTCTTTTTGAACCATGTTAGCACATCCATGAGAGTGAGCCACATACATGTGGTGATGTAGACACGTAGAATTTATTTACTGTTGCACTAGTTAAATTTTTATGATCTTATGGATTTTAATTTTGTACCTTTTATTTAGAATTTATTCCTGGCCTCCTTTCTGAGTTGACTTGTCGCAGGTGGTATTTTCTATTAGGAACAGAATAGAGGTCATACAGAGGCTAGCCATCAGAAACAAAGACACAGGAATGCCAAATGTAGAGTGGAGAGAGTTAAGAATCATCTTTTACTATCATTCTTTATTGTCATGGATAGTTCTTCAGTTTCTTCACTGTTTGTATAGGAAGTAATATGCCTACTAATAAGATTTGTCTAATATTTTGAGAACTTGAATTTTACTTTGGGTAGATCTTGCTAAAGTGTATGGGAATAATAGAATATGGACATAGGTAGCCTTTCTGACATGAGGTTGTTTGTGACATGCTTGGTTTCATCCAATTTGTGCTTTTGCAAGGTAAAATGAAAGTAAAATGCACATGTATCTAACATAGAGCTAAGTGAAATATATTTTTCATTTGAAATACTCTACTTAAAATTTTAAATAATTTAACAAAATTGGCTTTAAAAATTTCATGACAATTCTGTGTAGATAAATAGAGCCTTCTTTTAGTTTGTTTTAGGTTTAAATATTCGAGGATTTTCTAATGACACAGGAACATGGCAATTGCAGTCTTTTCTATTAAAAGAAGAAAGTCCTTGCTTTTCACATTGTGTGGTACCAAGCAATGACTGTTCAAGCTAAAAACCTTAATGATTATTAGGATTACTTTTGTTTTTAGATCTTACAAAATGTCAAAAAATTAAAATCTTTCTTACTGTTTATTATAAATATATAGAAAATGATAAATATAGTAAAATTAATATTTAGTACATTGTAATTGAGAATATTTTGAAATTAAATTTCCTTCTGTAAGACTCATCAAAGGGTGGTTTGAATAGTTCTTGCCTTCTTGTCATGTGATTCACAATAAAGAATGAGCACCTTTTCTGTGCCTTGGCAAAATGTCCTACTTCACTAAGTATTGACCAGTTTCCAACATTTTATCCTTTGCATTTTAATGTCATGTAGCATTGTCACAAGTTCCTTTTACTGTGTATTTTTTTGCCAGAATCACTTCCTCCTGGTTGTCCTCATCCTTTTTTTTTTTTTTTAAATATATTTCATTGATTTTTTTTACAGAGAGGAAGGGAGAGGGATAGAGAGTTGGAAACATCGATGAGAGAGAAACATCGATCAGCTGCCTCCTGCACACTCCCTACTGGGGATGTGCCTGCAACCAAGGTACATGCCCTTGACTGGAATCAAACCTGGGACCCTTCAGTCCGCAGGCCGACGCTCTATCCACTGAGCCAAACCGGTCAGGGCTCCTCATCCTTTTTGTTGCAACCAGTTTCCTCTTCATGCCAATAAGTGTGACTTCCCTGCGCTCCTTTGGCTGCATATCTAGTTTCTAGAACAGCGAAGTGGCAACATCTCCATGGTCAGCTGTTTCTTCTATAGCTCCATTTACATTTAACTGAATTTCACTACCAGCCTTATAATTTTTTTTTGTTTTATTGCTGCATTTTTATCCTTGCTGTACAATTCCCTGTTCGATTATCATAATCTTTTTTTTTTTTTAATGTCACAAGGAGGCAACACACTATATGCTTCCCTGTCTGGGTGTGAATGCATAACAAATGTGCATTGACCAATCACTGACAGACTTTGACAAAGTGATATGATTGGTCACTGATCACGATGCCTGTCCGTTATTTATGTAGTGACTCATGGACTGAAGAGCTAGCAGCAAGTTTGTGCTTTATGCAATTGTTCGCAGTAAATTTTGAACCATGTTGTTAGGGAACTGGTGTTATTTAAACTATGATAACAAATCCCTTCACATTGGAATCATCAGTGTGGTATAACATCGTTGGCAAGAAAAATTGTTTTATCTCTTCACTGAAATCATTAACATAAGGCTAATTTTGACTAGTCAACTTATAAAAAGTTGACTTAGTGAAAAAAGTAAACTACTTGATTTCATGCTGAAAAGTATTTAAATGACTTATAAACATATTATCTTGGAGATTATTTTGCTAATAAATTAATAAAGATTGTACAGTCTAGAAAAGAGAAAATAAAAACCTTGTCATTTGTTTTCACATTTTTAGGCAAGGTCATGTGAATCTTCCTCCACTTGAGTTCAAACCGGCATTAATGTTGGAAACCTTTAGCATCAGTGCAGTCATGATGGAAAAGTCTGTGTGCACCCCTCAGAACTCCACCAACGCTCTTTCTTTCCATGATCTTAACAAGCGTTACTACAATACCTTCCACTGCAACTTCACCATTTCCTGTCAGTCTATAAGCCAGCACGTGGACATGGCTTTGGTTCGTCTCATTCATCAGTTCAGTACAATGATAGATGACATCAAAGCGACTCAGACTGACATTAAACTGAGCAGATACACAGCTGGATCAGCTTCGCCAACACCTACCTTTAGAACCAGAAAACATCGGGATTTCCGCTCCTCTGACTTCAGCCGCAGTTCCAGAGGAAGTCTTAATGGTGGCACCAGAGTAAATAATGCAAAGAACAAACGGACCAACCCTGAGAATAACAAAAAGGAATCTCGAAACAAAAACTCATTGGGAAGATCTGAGAGAAGAACCTCCAAAGTGTCTAGGAAAGGCTCCAAGGACGTGGTGGATCACATGGCGATCCCCATGGATGACTCTGACTCCATTACCGTGTCAGAGCAGAGTGAACCCTCTGCCGAGTGCTGGCAGAACATGTACAAACTGCTGAACTTCTATTCTCTCATCTCTGATCCAACAGGAATACTGGAAAAATCTTCAGACGCATTTGGACCAGCAGGTAATGGATGTTTCATATTTTTTAAATTGCTGTTTAGAATTGCAAACATACTAAGAAAGGCTTCAGGTTGTTCATGATGTTTTCTTTTTTTGTTTTGTTAATCCTCACTCGAGGATATTTCTCCATTGATCTTTTAGAGAGAGTGGAAGAGAGAGGGAAAGACAGAGAGGAACATCCATGTGAGAGAGACATATCCATTGGTTGCCTCCTGCACGTGCCCTGACCAGGGCCTGGGCCAGGGAGGAGCCTGCAACCAAGGTACATGCCCCTGATCAGAATCAAACCCGGGACTCTTTGGTCCCCACGCTGATGCTCTATCACTGAGCCAAACTGGCTAGGGCTCATGAGGTTTTTTTTCATGTGATGAGTGGATAATTGAGATGCACAGCAGTTGGCAGTCAGGAGAGAATAGTCATGTGGTCAGAACTCCTGTGCCCCATTTCCCACCCTCTCTAACCTTGTGCAAGGTGCTCTGGTAGAGCCACACACACCTGCTGTCAATGACTGTTTGCTTTCAGTGTGACCAAGGGAAGATGTAGAAATACTTTAAAAGTCATTTTGGTAGGGAAGAGGAGGAGGAGAGCTGGTCAGGAAAAGGAAGGAAAGAGAAATAAGTGTCCTTTCATTCCGCAGTTTTCATGTCTAAACTTGTGTGTTTCTGTTTACTTATGAAGGCGTTCGGAGCCCGACAGAGCCAACCTGTAAAGTGGTGTTTGAGAATGAACAGGACAATAACAGTGTGACAAAAACGCAGAGGAAGCGCAGCTTGGTGACAGCGGAGCCCCAGCATGTCACCCTGATCGTGTTCGGGATCGGCATGGTGAACCGCACACACCTGGAGGCGGACATCGGTGGGCTCACAATGGAGTCCGAGCTGAAGAGGATTCATGGCAGCTTCACACTGAAGGAGAAGATGAAAGGTATGGCACGTTCCCATATTGCTGATGCTTTTCTGAAAACTGACTCCATCTCCCCAATTCCTGTTTGGCAGTTGTTCTAGAAAACCAAACTTCCAGGTAGATCAGAGAGTTAATTTATGTAGTTTCTTTTTCCTATTTTTATTTTATAAAAATTTCCAAATGTTCTGCACTAAGTATTACTTCTGAGATTTAAAATGTCATTAGGCTATTTAATGCCCTTTAGGCTCTGTACTGCATGATTGGCATGTTAAACTGAATATTTAGTATTATTCCAATTTTAACATATTATATACATATATGTATACATGAACACAGAAATAAAACTTCAAGGAAATTTTAAAAAGTAGTTTCAAAATAGTTTAAATTTTATGTAACTTTAAAATTATCTTTTGTCACTGAACATTTTATGAGTAAAATGCAAATTTAATATGAAGTGTAATTATTATAATTCATATAATTATTTTTCATCACATTTAAGATGTTTTACATCAAAAGATGACTGAGACATGTGCCACTGCGCATATTGGTGGGGTTAATATTGTGCTGCTTGAAGGGATCACACCAAATATACAGTAAGTGTATTGATTTTTATTCTTAAATTTGTTTGTTATAGTTTATAGGAAACTTAAAATTCATTGGATAAATCCCACACTTGCTGAATTTTGAAATTTATATACTTAATGTTTCAGATATTATGATTTCTGTCATTAAGAATATCACACAATGAAATGTTTTAGAAAAGTGATTTTGCCTTTCTGAAAGTGGTTTTACTACCTCCTTCACCCCTCTTTAAAAGTAGACTCCTGGGACATTGTAAGATTATGTATCAAGAAAAATGATTACTAGTGCAAATTTTGGTTAAACATAAGATGCAAAAGCTGGCACAATTCAAATAGTTAAATAAAACAAAATTATAGTCAAAGGATATAGACTGTCTTGGTTTTATGTTAAGCAATCATTACCCATATTCATGTTGGGTTTTAAAACTTCCTCTTGCCATTTTTGCAGTTAAACAATTTTACTGTAATGCCTTAGAGACCCTTCTAATAGTATAGGTAAGCTTCTTATAGTGACGACTAGAGGCCCGGTGCACAAAATTCATGCACTCAGGGTTGGGGGTGGGGTGGGGACCTTCAGCTCCGCCTGTGCCCTCTTGCAGTCTGGGAGCCCTTGGGGGATGTCCGACTGATTGCTTAGGCCCACACCCTCTGGAGAGCAGGCCTAAGTTGGTGGTCAGACATCCTTAGCGCTGCCACGGAGGTGGGAGAAGCTCCCGTCACCGCGGCTGTGCTTGCCAGTTGTGAGCTGGGCTTCTGGCTGAGCGGTGCTCCCCCTGTGGGAGCGCACTGACCACCAGGGGGAAGCTCCTGTGTTGAGTGTCTGTCCCCTGGTGGTCAGTGCGTGTCATAGCAACCAGTCGTTCCATCATTTGGTCGATTTGCATATTATCCTTTTATTATATAGGATGGTCTTTGGTTGATTACTTCCCACCCACAATAGGGCTAGGGAAGGACCGTAGGAGGGCTCCAGGGCATGTCTGGCCCGTCTCGCTCAGTCCCAATCGGCCGGACCCCAGCAGCAAGCTAACCTACTAGTCAGAGCATCTGCCCCCTGGTGGTTAGTGCACGTCATAGCAAGTGGTTGAGTGGCCTTAGCATATCATTAGTATATTATGCTTTGATTGGTTGAATGGATGACCAGACGACCAGACACTTAGCATATTAGGCTTTTATTATATAGGATGACAATCCATATCACTTTTCTTTTGACTGTCCTTTTCCCTTATAAGTTCTATTCTTGGATCTGTTTAGAATTATTACCTTTACACATGATATTCAGATTACTCATCTATTATCAATACATTAAAACATTTACTTGGTTCACACAATTTGGGATTACAGACCTTCATTCCTAATTTCCTTTCAATGGAGCAGTTTTATGTTAAAATTATAAAATGTGCTTAGGTTAGATTTTGAGAATTTGCTTTTAAGGTTATAACTAGATATATATGTCCTACAATGGTCCTAGAAAGCCTCTATCATGTTAATTACTGACTAAATAGGGGATTTGGTTCAGCATTGTAAAAATTACACATTAGTCATAGATTGGCTAGTTACAGGTCTATTAATAATATTTTAAACATATTTTAATGTGATAGCTATATGGGGGAATATTTCCTGAAATAGATGTGTAAGTCTTGCTGGAGAATTTGGACCTGAAACCTTGGAATGAAAGAGAACATATTTTATATTAGCTGCCTGAATGTTCCAGTTTGTATTTCTTAAGAAGTCTTTCAAAAGACCAGGAAATCCAGTAGTTGGGAGAGACAAGATCTTTCCTGATCATTCACTGTGGGAGAAGGGCTCTCATGTAACAACTGTTATCTTAAGAAGCACATACTGTGGAGTCTCATAGATTATTTACAATTCTGTGACCTAGGGTGGCTTTATCCCCCTCAGGGAACAATAAATTAAGATTCAGAAAGATCAAAGTGTTTGCCTAAAATGCTTCAGATGGTACAGTAAGAAGGAAGAGAGGCCTGAATCCCACCTTCTGGCACCTCACCGTGTTGCTTCTGTACACAGTCCTCACAGACCTCCGGCTCCACATCCCCTGTTGACGAAATTAAAGTACCATGCTCACCAACCTATTCAGAAAGTAAAATAAATTTCTTTACATGTCCTATGTGTTTTATTTACTGTCCTATTGGATTCCTTGTCTCCATTTTCTATTAGCTTTTAAGACAGTGGTTCTCAACCTTCTGGCCCTTTAAATACAGTTCCTCATGTTGTGACCCAACCATAAAATTATTTTCGTTGCTACTTCATAACTGTAATGTTGCTACTGTTATGAATCGTAATGTAAATATCTGATATGCAGGATGGTCTTAGGCGACCCCTGTGAAAGGGTCGTTCGACCGCCAAAGGGGTCGCGACCCACAGGTTGACAACCGCTGTTTTAAGAGAAGGGCATAAATAGTCTCTAAACTTGCAAAAGCATATTTATCGAACAGACTTTCTAAGTATTAGATAGTTGATTTTTTTTTTTTGCCTTTAGGAAAAAAAATCATAGGAAAGATCCCTTAACTTTTATATTTGAAAAATAAAAGTTATTACTCACTGCTAGATTCTAGTAGTGTTAAGTGTTCCTGGACTTATTCTTTGGCTTTTTATTTCCAATTTCAAAGAAAAGGAAACAGAACTAAAAAAGTAGTTTAAAAGGTTCTTTGAAGGAAAATTGTAAAAGTGGGAAATAAGAAAAGCTTTCCAGATGATCGGTCATGTTGTAACTGATTTATGCATGAATGCTTATCTGCTTCCTTTTTGTTTCCTGCTTCCTCTTGAATCTTCATCTGTAGACTGGAGGATTTTCCTACATCTCCTACAAGCACAGCCAAACAAGAGTTTCTGTATGTCATATTATTCTTTTTCATGGACTTTGTGATTAACATAGCACTGAATAGTTTTAAGGATAATGTTATCTGCATGGCTGTGAATGTATGTAGTTAGTTATTATTTTGTAGTTTTAACATAGACCCTTTTGTAGATTAAAGCTTACTGGTATTCAGCAAACACACAGGTAACGGCTACCTTTTTGCTTTGTTGTTGAAAGATTGTAGCACTGTAGGTGTGCATTGCTTGTGCTCTTTTTAGACATGTTACTGTCAAAATTTATATTATCACATATCCTTGTTAATGTTTGATGTGATAGTAAAAGCCAAAGTGTTTCACTTTGCAAAAGATTTTTCACTAATTGCAAAAATAATTATTAAAACTAACATTGAAAATATCTACACATCTCAACCTTATGGTCCTGTTTTAAGATGAGGAGTGTTTATTGCTCTGTTGACAGATTTTATATATGACTTTTCTATATGTGCTTCTGTATTTTGATTGCCTTGATTTGACTCATGTATATCTGATATTTTGTAGTAGTGAGCTATATTGAGTGCTATATTTAAAAATATTCATCACATGAGTCTTATCACTGTGACAAATTAATGTGTTACTTAGCACTGGTTATTTCTTTGGGCATTTTCTGTAAAATTTGAATATGTTGAATAAATATTTGAATCTGTATATTAAGTTCCATTCTGGTAAGATTATCATACTTGGTGAGATTTGTTTCATTGCATAATGATAACAGGCCATAGACAAAATATCAATTACCAGCCCTTTGTTGAGATTAATGTGATCTATATCTCTTTATCAGCCAATTAGAAGTACTAAAAAAGAATAAATTCACTAATTTTAAATTAGAGAAATTATTGTTTTCTAGAAATCACTCTTCCATATTAATGCCATTTTAATAGGTATTGAAAAAAAAAACTACCAGTAAATCCACTTTAGTAGTCATAGTAGCTGGAGAGGATTTATTGTTTCCCTTTCATCACGGAGTGCTTTGCTAAATCTATTTATTTTTCAAGAATCCTTTGCTCATTTGAAAGATAGCATTTATGTTAGAGGCCATCTTTTTACTATCTGGGCCTTTCCTGGTGCAGTTGATTGACAGGCACCTTTCCATTGTATGCCAACGACTGCTTTGTCATGGTTTCTGCACATGTGACCTATCACATGCTATCTGCGTAATTCCATAGTTGCCGTGTTGAGAGCCATTCTTCTGCTGTACTTCTTTCTGCTCATTCATTTCACAAGATTCAGTGAGTGCTTATCACATTCAGGGTACTGTTCTAGCCACGGGAAAGAGAGTATAAGAGATCAAGAGAGAGAATATTTCTGCTTTATGTCTATATCAGTAAAGCGTCGCAGTTTTTAAATAAGTAGTAGTTACTTGTTATGAATTGACTTCTGTCATTTCTTTGTTACTCACTGAAAATAGAAAATTCAAGTTAATTTCTTCCTTCCTGTTAATTTCTCTTAGTATATTTTAATATATTAGATGATTATTAATTTGTTTAGATTTTAAGAAGTATATTGCATTTTTATCTTTTCATGTTCAGTGTTTGTGCTTTCTTAGTGGTTGTATAGATCCTAAAATAAGTTGGAGGAGAATAGTGGAGTTCTGAATGGAGAAAAAAAGTGAAAATGGAATTTTGTGTTGCATGTATGTAATGTGTCAGTGTTCATGCTTTTACTTACACAAGATCCCAGACATATGTTCTTCTATAAAGTCTGTATTAAAATAGAATATTTGGTGTGTCTAGCAAACATTGTAAAATAAATGTATTTCAATATTTATAGAATACTTATTCAATGTATGATTTAAACACATGAAAAAAATATTAATGTGTTTAGTTCAATGAGTAACTTAAAAGCACTTGTCTTGCTCTCAATAATACTACTTTTCAAAATTTATCTTTACTTGGCTATATTTTAATAGTCCTCCTTTCCTGTTGCTAGAACTGTAGTGAAATGCAGTATCGCCAAGTCCCAGGCCCTCTACAGTGCCCAGAGAGGGTTGAAGACGAACAACGCTGCTGTGTTCAAAGTCGGAGCTATCAGCATCAACATTCCACAGCACCCCGCCACCTTACATAGCATGATGGTTCGGAGTTCTCACCAGCTGTCGAAGCAGATCTCAGACCTCATCAGACAACCTTCTACACTGTAAGTTATTCCATCAAGTTTTGTCATTCTCTACAATTCTTTGCTGTGTGAACAGCAATATAGAAGAAGACTGAGCATTGACCATGATAGACACAGGGGCAGGTGGAAAGTAATCAAACATGATGGTAGGTAGTACTGGATATTATATTATACTAGAGGCCCGGTGCACAAATTTGTGCACACTCGGGGGTTGGGGGGGCCCTCAGCCCGGCCTGGACC